TGGGAAAGTGATAATAAATTGGACATCTTGTTCCAGAATCATGTGAATAATAAAACTAATAATAATCATAATCATAATAATAATGGGATAAAGTCCGAGGAATTGAACCCAAGTTCTTCAGTGCTTGATGGGCAGCTAATTCAGAGCTATCCATTAACGTCGCTATCACAAGACATTGTTCGATGCAATTTTGATGCTTTTTACCATTTGTGAACTAATTGNACATTATATTCAATCCTTTCAAAAAAAAAAAAAAAAAAAAAAAAACATAGATGTTGATAGTAAGTTTTTTTTCCTTATGTATTTTTCTTTATTTTTTTTTTGTAATATTTGTTTTACGACAAGATAAAATAATGTGAAGAGTGATCTCTTGATTTCTATTTTTTTTTTAATTTGGATCGTGAAAGAACGATGATGCTAGCTTATATTATGTGGATTGGTTAATATACTCGAGTTTTGAATTATGGATACGAAAACAAGGAAATAACCAATTAAATTATTTGAGGGAAATTGGAGAAATGAGATGAACGAATAATGCATTCTTGGAGAGATGGAAGAAAGGATTGAAAGGATAGGGAAATGGGGTCTCAGTGTAATATTAAAGAAATGGTGAAAATGATTATGAGATTCCACGTAAGTTGGAGAAGAGAAACGAAGTAAGGGTGTGAAAACTGTGAGACTAACAGTGATACGTAAAAGACCAAAACAGACATCTATTAGTAAGCAGTGTAACAAATATGCTTACCATTTTCTAATAAACACGTTTTAAAACTGTGAGATTGATGATAGGAATATGTTGAGAGACAAAGGGGGGGTTGGGAAGAGAAATGGCAACCACATTTCTTTTGTTTCTTTTTGAAATATAGCTCCCCTCATTCATAGTTCTTCCTAAATATCTTCACAAATTTCACTCAAATTTTGATTCATAGTAATGATATTGTCTTTTCTTAACAAAATATCACAGAAAACATGTCCCTAGCTGCGTCGATGAACCCCGCTGAATCTCCCTTTACACGCAAGATGGTTCTAGCAACATTTTCAACGGACATTCCTAACCCAATGCCCGATCGTCAAAGGGGTCTCGACACAACTTCCTCTCGAACAAAACCCACCGCCCTGCAGTCCATCAGGCGGAAACTCCCTAAGAAAACTCAGAACCGAGTTAAACAATGGCTATCTAAGGATCCACTGCTTCTTGTACGTCTTTCATACGTATACTGTAATGAAGCTAATTTTGTATTAAAATGAGCAATAAAATATAGAAGAGGCTTAAATTACACTCATTGTGATAGAAAGAGAGGAGTTTTAACAGAAATTGATGGGAAGTTTGGTTGAAAAAAAAAAAAAAAAAAATTAAACCCAAGTGGGTTTATATCTGTTCTTTGCGTAAAAAAACACAAACTTTTTCTTTTTCTTTTTCAAAAAAGACCGACCGGACATAATTAACAGCTAATCACAAGTCAATCAGCTAATCAAATCCCCACTTAAGCCTGATTAATTTCTTATGTCATTTCCCTCCTTTTCTCCCCCTTAAATTCAGTTCTACATTCTTATTTTTATTTTTTGGAAAAAAATAAAAAAATATATTTTAAATTGTGTTTTTTAGTTTTGTGTTTATTTGGTTTTTAAATTTCAAAATATAATATATTATTTAGTGTCTCTATTAATTTTAAAGAATTAGTACAAATTTGAAGGTAAAAAATGTAAGGTCTAAAATTTTAGACACCAAATGTAAACAAAACTGGGAGAGTAAAATAAATAGAAAATAGAAAATTTAATGACGACTTCTATAATATTTTATTAAATTTGAAAACTTTTTATATAGTTTTTAAATTTTTGATCTGGAGAGATGGACCTTAAAAGAAATATTATTAATGCTTTGATCAATTTAATTATACTTTAATTCTACATTTTACATAACTCATTTAGTTTTGTTTCAATTTTTAAATTTTCAATATTTAATAAAATAGAATAATCAATACAAAAAATATTAGAGAAATTGTTGTTCACGTTTTCGGTTTAAGCGATCTCGTTGGTTTAAATAATTCTTTTAGTCAAAATTTTAAAACTTTTTTTTTTTTTTTTTTTTTTTTTTTTTTTTTTTTTTTTTTTTTTTTTTTTTTTTTTTTTTTTTTTTTTTTTTTTTTTGAGGTTACCTTAAAAAAATTATGTAACATAATGAATTTTTGTTTGCTTAAATAATAATAATAATAAACTTTAAAAAAACATGTTTTTTTTTTAAGAAATCATGCGATGCGGTTGGGGTTCATGCATACCAGTCGGAATCTGGGTGGGAGTTAAGTGAAATTCATGCGTTCTTGGCAAGATTGAAAACTTCTGAGCGTGATTCATCCAGTTGGTTTGAATTTGGTCGGGATTCATGAATTTTGATCTAAGATTGACGGATGAATTCCGGTCTAAATTTGTTGGCAATTCATATAATCTCATCAGAATTGATATAAAATGCAGTTGAAATTAGGTAGAAAAAAGAAGATGAACCAAAACAACAGAAGAGTAAAGATGAGAGCGTAATTCAGAAATATCTGTGGTGATCCAATGTTCTTGTTCGTTCATATACAAAACCCGGTATCCCATTCGTATCGTTGAATCCGGTGAAGTGATCTTAAAGGCTGCTGTTACCTCCATGACTGTCATCAAGCAATTGCAATGCAACTCCTCTTCTACTGCATCCTCAACAATCTTCGCCAACACACAGAGCCTCACCACAATTCACTTTTAACTTCATACCTCCCCTACCACCATCATAACGTGAGGAAGACAAATTCGAATCGGAGGGAGCCCAACATTGCGATTGGAATAAAAAATTGAAAGAACACATTTTAATGTCGCAAATGGAAGATTCGAGAACACTTGCCTGAAGAACCCACCATGGCTGCACTTGCTAACGAAGTTCCAGTGAACTATTATGGACTTGTGTCTTCAGCAGCAGCAGGAGGAGGAGATGCGGTAAACAAAGAAACGAAATCACCAAGTTCTTACAATCTGTTGTGATAATAAAACTAATCCATCTACGTTTTATTCCTCTCTTCTTTTAGCAGAATTTGGAACCTGTTTAAATTATAAGCTTGTTTCAAACTTACATGATTTCACGTTAGAGTTTACTAAGACAATGAATTTTTTGTTTTGTGCTAGAACTTTGTATTAAAAGTGGCTACGCTTATCTCAACGACTCTACCACCGTCATACCCATTATTTCAATGAAACATATACACTAATCAAATTTCATTAATAGAACACAATTTTGAAACAGAACTATCAATTTTGGAAATGATAATTGATGTCTTGTGGCAGAGCTATGTTCAAATCAGCTCAATAACGTTGAAGATGATTGAGTGGAAAGAAATGAAAGAAGTTGCTACTAATAATGCTACAAAGTAGATTTTGGAATGAATGGGGTTTTATACTTGAAGCTATAGATTTAGCGCAGACAGAAATACGGTTCAACCAATATTATAGAACATCATCGCAGTGCAGTTTTGAAAGGAAAATGGCCTGAAAATGGCTCAGTTTTAAGTAGTTGCAGAGCAGGAATGATTTAAAACCAGGCGAACAAGATTGAACACGGGAACACCCACATACAATCCATTTTGAGTCCCATGAATTTGGTACTTCGATCAGGAATCACATCATAAGAAGGAATGAGAATTAATGATATGAAATGATAAGACTTTGAGACAGAAGGTTGAGCCACAACTTAGCAGCACAAATGATGATACTAGACATTAAAGAAGGTAGCAACAACCTTAAAACAATCAACTATTTCCAAATCTCACAAATTCGAGGATGAAAATGATGATGATCTTGTAAATGTCACCGACAAAACAAAGAGCCCAGCTGATTCTAGACAACCAAGTTGTTTAGTGAGTCGGGTAAGATAGAATAACAATGCAAGTAGCAGTTTCAACTTTCAGTGACTTAAACAATGATAACAAACCCCATGAAATTAGCGAAATTAACAATGTATAACATAAAAGTTGAATGATAATTCAAGAAAAACATTCAAAATTGACTGAGTTCAAAGTGAAGAAAACTGAAACACAGAGTTTGATAACATTAATCCAATACTTCGAAGAACCCCACAAGATATATCAGAACTAATTTGGAAACAAAACCATAGAACTAAGAGTTACCCAATAAACCTAAGCCGTTAGGACAACAGCACCACCATTCTCCTTGATCTTCTTCTCTGCAATTTTCGAGATGAGCTTGGCTTTCACAACGATGGGCTGGTTCTCGGGCAAGACCCCTTTACCCAAAACTTTGAAATACCCAAACTGGGTAACATCAACCAAAGGGGCATTATCCTTAGAAGCCTTGTCCTTCACTTCCTGGGGGACGAGAGACCAGAGCTTGTCGACGTTTACAATGGGGCAATAGAATTTGTTTCGGAGCTTGTGGAAGTATCTCATACCAACTTTTCCAAAATAACCAGGATGGTATTTGTCAAACAGGATTCTGTGGTGGTGCATACCTCCAGCGTTACCACGACCACCAGGATGCTTACGGTGCTTGCCGATACGACCATGGCCGGCGCTCACGTGACCGCGCTTCTTCCTGTTCTTCTTGAATCGGGTCGTCATTTCGTCTGCGAACGATGGAGAACTGGGTTCCAAGAATTTGCAGGGAGCGGCGGGACGAGGAAGTGAAATTTAGGGTTTGGGTAGAGTTTATAGCACTGACAGCCGAGACCCACACCACAAAATTTTGGGCTTTTTCATTCGTATTAGCTGAAAGCCCAAGCCCAAGCCCCACCTCAGAAAAACTCTATTAATCTCGAAGTGGACACTATCATAATATTGTAGAACTTCGAAGGTGTAGTTATAGTGATTCAAGCATCTAATAATGTATTTTGAAATGGTCAGCCATTAACGAAATCCCATTTGAAGGGTCAGCTTCACTGATTTGGCAAATTAATTTGGAATGAAAAATTGGAAATATTTCATTTTAGCATTTAATTCCTCGAAACTTTCTTTCGGGTTAAGGAACCCCGAGAAGAAGTCGAAAAATTTCTTCGTCGACAAGCCAAACACGCCCTATTAAATCAAAAGCACAAATAATTTTGTTTTTCATCGAAGCCCATTCAGATTTCGGGAAAAGAGCTTTGAGCGCGATGATACCGGCTTACGGATAGGATTCTTCGAGTTATTTTGCTTCGATTTTCTAGAAAAGATCCAACTGCCTATAGTCAAGTTTTAATTACAGAAAACCTTTCCATTTCTTTATATTATAGAAATCTTCACCCAATTCGGATCACATAGGCGGTTTTAGTACTATACGTATATTTGTTTCTTCTTCCATTTTCCCATCTTCTGACCCACCCTCTGCGACGCCCGGTCCGACGCTTCTTCTGCTGGGTTTCTGAAGCCATGGAGTCTACTATGGTGATTAAGGTTAGAATTCTCGTCTTGATTTTACTGGGGTTTTTCTGTTTCCTTGATGATGATGATGATCATCGCTGTGTTCTTCCTGTTTGCGTGTGTGTATGCGATGTCTAGTTTTGGGTGTGTTGAAAATATCGTTCTCCAGAGGAGATTTGTTTATTATTAACTGGGTTTTTGTTGATCTCTATGAATTTCTGTTTGCTGGGTGTGAAGAAATTGTTCATAATCAATTCGCTTGAGCGAGCCTCTATGTTCATTTCGTTGGATTTCGTTATTTTTTGTTTGATGAGAAAAATAAGGCAAGCTTAGATCGATAATTGGGAAATCAGAGAAGGTTGACTGACTTAATTGGGGTATTATGAATTGATAATTGTATGTTATTTCAAATTTTCGTATCAATTGTTTATACTCTTGACTCTGAAAGTGACAAATCCATTGATGTTTTATAACTAAAATCACTAATCTATGCTGTTCCAATTTCCATGTCTGTGGGTTTATAAACGAAGGCTTCTTTTCATCTATAATGGCAATATCGAGCTTGGAGTAGCATAGATTCATACATACTTGATACTTTTTGTGCACCGAATATGAAATTCATATTTGAATAGCTTTTGCATTGTAATGGACGTCTGTTTTCTTCATGTATTGTGGTCATTGTTAGAAACAGTAAAAACCCCTATTTGTTCTTTTTGCAAGTGCATTTCGTTTGCCTTTTGTTTTGTCGGCTGGGAAGTTACTGTCATTATCTATTTTTTAGAAGGCTTTGAAGGCCTATGCTCGAGGTATTATTGAGATGAAGTGCATTTTTATGTCTCAAGGTTTATAGTTTCTTTAATTTGTAAGAGGCACTTGCTCCCCTTTAGGAGGTCTCATTGAGGACAAGGGGCTTTTCAGCTCACCGGGTGCCTAGTGTCACGGTCATAGTATGGTTGTGACATTCTCCCTCACTTGTCATCGAGTAGAAAGGTCGCCTATCGGTTATGTATGATCAAGCATGTTACTACTTATTGACACTAAGGCATCAAAAAAACATCCAAAGGCAAAGCTTATAGAGATCCATGTTCTATTAGTATGATGATGACTTATTCCCGTCATATTTTTTTTCCTTGAAGGTTAAATATGGAGAAATGCTAAGGCGCTTCAGTGTTAGAGCCCATGGAAACAATAAACTGGATCTTGACATCAATGGCTTGAGAGCAAAGATACTTAATCTCTTCAACTTCTCTTCTGATACTGATTTTACATTGACTTATATTGATGAAGATGGTGATGTGGTGACCTTGGTCAATGATGATGATCTGCATGAATTGATGAGGCAACAGTTAAAGTTCTGGAAAATTGATGTGCATCTGAGAAATAAGGAAAATGACCAATCCCATAACAGATCAGATGGAAGTTCTACCCCTATGATGTCAGCAAGTGGCCAACCTTCGTTTCAAAATGTTCGTCCTGGTATCTCTGAGGTTTTGAAATCTCTGCCAGAGCCCTTACCTGAATTTTGTTCAAAGGTCTTCCTTGACATCGCTTCAAAAGCCGCAGTTGCTAGCCCTTTGTTTTCTGAGCTTGCTCAGAGCTTTATTCGGTTGGGAAGCACACACCCGAACACTGGTTCCCGGGCCTCATCTGTTCCAGAGACGTGCACACAGAATGTGGCCACTGAGGGTTCTACGTGTTCTCTAGGTGCAGATTCAAAAGCTTCAAAGAACGATGACGTTCAATGCGCTGGTTTAGCTTATAAAGATAGAAAGATAATTAACAGTGAGAGCATGACAAAGAACATTGGTATAGCTGGACCTGCTGTTGATCTTAATGCCCTTCCTTGTGATTCTATTGCTTCTGGATTTGCTATTGGGAAATCAGCTACTGCTGCCCCTTCCAGCAGCCCTTTTGATGGAAAGGAGGAAGAAAATCGCAATGAAATGTATGTACGCGGTCTTCCTGCATCGGTGCACACTAAACCACATAATTCAGCTTCCACTGATAGGGATGGTAGGTTCGTCAACGAGTGCCCTTTTAGTGGATTGCCTGTGGCTACCGAACCATCTATGCTTGGAACTGCAGGTATAGATCCTGTAAACAGTGGTTACATTGAATCTGCAGGAAGTAAGTTCCATAAAGGTCCAAATGTCAGCAGCAGTGGCTACATTGAACCACTCCATGAAGATCCAATAATTAGCAGCCGAGGTTACGTTGAACCTGTGAGAAGTATATTCCACAGAGGTGTTATTTGTGATGGCTGTGGAGCCCATCCGATTACTGGTCCACGGTTCAAGTCCCAAGTGTAAGAATAGAACACAAACCTATAATTAGCTATTCACCTTTTATTTCCCTTTGTTATCTGTTCCTAATTACCCAACTTTTTTGTCTTTGGTATTTCTCTTCAGGAAAGATAATTATGATCTCTGTATGGTCTGCTTTGCTGAAATGGGCAATGAGGCTGACTACATCAGGATCGACCGTCCTGTCTCTCACCGGCGTCCAAGAATGAAATCCTGCTATCGTAGAGTATGAAATTTTCACGACAGAGCTTCTATGCATCCCTTTGTTTTGTCATTAGCAATTTTATTTTGTTTTTAACTTCCGATCTCTCTGAACGCAGCCTCCATTTCCTGGCCCCCAAATAATCGATGCTTTGATAAGTTCTGGAAAGCAGACCAAACTTGATAGTCGCTTTGTAGACGACATTAATGTCTTGGATGGCACTGTGATGCCTCCTTGTACCCCATTTACCAAGATATGGAGGTTGCATAATAGCGGGAGTGTGAACTGGCCTCGTGGTACACAGCTAGTATGGACAGGAGGAGATAAGTTCAGTCGTTCAGAATCGGTCGAATTAGAGGTAGAAAAATGTTTTCCAACTTCAATGCTAGTCTAATGGGCATGTGGTTTTCTGGTTTTTGGTGTTTGTATTTCTTCATATTTATTCTTCCTTTTATTTTCTAAAACTTCTCTCACATCCTCACTTATGTCAGGTTCCCGCTGATGGACTTCCTCCGGGTCGGGAAATTGACATTGCAGTTGACTTTATAGCCCCTCCATTTTCTGGTCAATACACCTCATACTGGATTATGGCATCTCCATCTGGCCAGAAGTTTGGACAACGTGTTTGGGTTCTTATTCAGGTATTCATGTGCACATCTCAGTTTTCCCAGTGCTGTATGTAAGTTCATATAATTACACCATTATTTAAATTTAACTTATATTGTTTACGAACATGAAGGTTGATGCAGCACTTGGGATGCCAGATTCCGAGCATTTGCGAGCTGTGGATTCAAATTTATCCTCACCCATAGTCATAGGTAGTGCTGGTTCAAACAGCCATGAAGGTGTAGAAAAGAATGCTACTCCTGCAATTTCTGACGGTGTCCTTCTCCCTCCTCGTAATTCTGTTCCTATAATCGAACTAGTAAAACCTGATCTTAATGTGCCTATAAGTGAAACAGAGCTACAGTTCCTAGTAAATGAGGATATGCTAGTTGGGAAGAGTCCTGCTACTTCTGCTACTGAGGATAACTTAGTCTCATCTCGCCCTGCTGTCGATGGCCATGGAGTTCTACCTCGTTCAACCGAGGTTCCCTCTGTGCCATACCCTCTTATTGATCTTTCTTTACCAACTCCAGCTGCAAACCCACCTCCTCCAATACCATCCCCCAAGGTTTCTCCAGCATCATCTGAAAAAGTCACTACTAACAACGTTGTTGAAGAAACTCTTCTTAAAACACTACAGGATATGGGATTCAAACAGGTTGATCTGAACAAGGAAGTACTGAAGAGGAACGAGTACAATCTAGAGCACTCGGTGGACGAACTCTGTGGAGTTTCCGAATGGGATCCGATGCTTGATGAGTTGGAGGAAATGGTTAGTAAGTCGTTTAACTAAGTTGCTAATCCTTGATTTCTTGGGTCTTGGTTTATGATTATAAACGTGTGGCATTACACAGGGATTCATCGACAAGGAAACGAACAAAAGACTTCTGATGAAGAACAATGGCAGCATGAAGCGAGTAGTGATGGAACTTCTATATGGGGAGAAGGCTTAGCTGAAGAAAGCTCTCTCAAAACTATGGGTTAGAATGTAAATACATATTACAACCAAACAGAATAAGAGATATGGCACTGTTGCTCTGGAACCAGGTTTTTTTGAGTCCTTTTCTGTTTCTGTTCTGTCTTTTATCATTGTAAAAGTTGTGTGTGTATATATATATATATATGTCATTCGAACTTTTGTTCAGTTCAGCGTCTAGAACTCATGTTTTTCTTGTAGCTGTGATGTTTAATCCTTTCACTGAAGAGACTGGGCTTGAAGCTATAGAACATTTCACAGATTGAACCTTCCTATTTATCTTCTTAGGTGTCATTCCTTTTGTGTTTGTTTCTGTTTTTTGTGAGAATTATTGTTCATGGGTATAGTTTTGAACTTGTTTATGTATCGATTTGAGGCCGATTTATATTGATGAGGCATCCCGGGGTGGTAGTTCGAGCTCTATTTTTGGTTAAATTTCTGGTTGTACAGGTTTTGTCTACATATATTGTGAAGATAAAACCAGGAGATCAGCCACAAATTCAAAATCTAAAAAAATCTGAACTCAACCACTCAATATGATTATCATGAAGTTGAGATTTCATTCATCGGTTCCTCAGTGTTGGAACTTCGAATAATGGCTAATTGAATCTCCTCGAAGTTCTATTGAACAAATTTCTCAAACTATTACAACTCTCTCGCTGTTTCCTCTGATTCCGCCCACCGCCATCGGCCTCTCGAAACCCGTCGCCGTCGAGCACCAACCCCGTCTCCAGCTTCTTCGAAACCGCCACAATCTCATACGAATCCCACAGCGACTGTCCGAAGTCCCATCTCCTCATGCCACCGACGGAAGACCGGCTTCGTATCGCCTCAAGCTTGAACCGAGATGGATTGGCTCTGCAATTGCGGCGATGGGCGTCGAATTCACTTGCAGGCTTTGAAGTACCGGTGTGACTTTGCCATGCCTGCGCCACCGCCTTGAGGATTTCGAGATGACCATCCTCGTCTTCAACCACTGGTTTGTTCTTCATGGTGTTCTTTGTTTGTGGGCTTTGTATTGGACGTTGTAAATTAAGGGAGTGAATGGGGACCATGATCATATCGTGCCCCAATCACAGCCTCATGTGTGGGTTCTCTGAGAGGGATTTTGGGTACTTTACGCTGTGGACCCTACATTTTCATTTACAGCATAATAATGGGTCACCCAATTAGTTATCCTTTCTCCTCAGAGGAGGCTCTTTGAGAACTGGCGAGAAAGAGGCTTCAATGAAGGGTTTAGGGTTCAATGAATGCTCTATGGTCCGCCATTAACCAAAACCGATTTGAAGCGTCACCTTCACTGAAGAAACCACGAGAAGAAGTCGAAAAGTTTCTTGGCCAATAAGCCAAACACGCCCTATTAAATCAAGAGCACAAACAAATTTTATATTTCTCTGTTCCCATCTCTTGACCCACCCCTCTGCGACGCTCGTTTTGCTAGGGTTCTGAAGCCATGGCGTATACTTATATGGTGTTTAAGGTTGGAATTCTCGTCTTGATTTAATGGAATCAGCATGCTCATGACTTGTTCCCCTCACATAAATATGGAGAAACGGTAAGGCGCTTCACTGCTAGAGTCACTCGATACCATACACTGGAAGTTCTACCCCTTCGATTTCACCCTCGGTTTTGAAATCTCTGCCAGAGCCCTTACCTGAGTTTTGTTCGAAGATCCTCCTTGACATCGCTTCAAAATCTGCAGTTATCTTTGTGCCTTCTGAGCTTGTTGAGAGCTTAATTTGGTTGGGAAACACAGGTTCCTAGTGTGACTCTGCCATGCCTGCACCACCGCCTTGAGGTTTTCGTGATGAACGTCGTCGTCTTCAACCACTGGTTTCTTCTTCATCGTGTTTTCTTTGTTCATCTCCTGCCCCAATCACAGCCTCATATTGAACGAAAAATAAAAAATTATTGACGAATAAATACCAAATGAGTTTCACAGAACAATTTCGATAGCTTAAGAGTGTTCACGTGCTTAAACTAGAATCTTTTAGCACGGGGAGATAATTCAATGGCCAGTAATTCATTTTCTGAAAGATTCTGGTTTTTGTGTTTTGGTGGGTCTTCGAGATCCTTTCGATGACCTATGTTGTGTTGAAGAGATATCTACATGATCCGATTGATTGCGTAAAGTCCGCGGTAGCAACGGAACTGGAGAAAGTATACAGAAAAGACAGTTCTTTTCTATTCTATTAGTATTGGATTAGTATTAGTTAGTGATTTCGGCTAAGTGAATTGTTTCTTCCATGATGTTTAATTTAACGATATATTCTTCCTAGCTTCATTTCATTTTGAAAATTTTAATATTTATCATATTAAAAGTATAATCTATTTTATAATATTTTAAGATTTATTAAAGTTTTTAAAATACTAAAACAACTAGATTATTTTAAATTTAAGTATAAAAATTAAATGGTTTTCTTATAAAAAAAAGAATTCAAACAATTTAGCCAATTAGGGCACGTATTCATATTATTGAGATATTTAATTTAATTTCCGTATTCGAACAGGGAGATTTCTTACTCCGTCGTGTATTTTCCCGCCCATTTTCCAAAGCCAATACTCCCATTTTCTCTGCTTTCTTCCGGTAGGTTTGGCCGCCGATCTCTACTCCTCCGCGCTATTTCGGTTCTATGTTATACGTTTCACAGCGTCTTACGAATCTTCAACTGTTCTCAAACCCTGTCCATCCCTTCCAGTGCAAAAGATGAGTGCTCCTATGGAGATTTCTCTCCCAAACCCTCCCTTAGATGCGCAGGTGCCTGAATCAAATGGCATCGTCTCCGAGTCAACTGCTTCTTCTATTGTAAATGAAGACAAAATTCTCGTTTCAGGTTCTTCTCTTATTGTTTTTGTTTCTTATTGTCTCAGATATTTTTGTACATGTTTTCAATTTCACAGCTTTGAGATATGTTTCCTACTTTTTATTTTTTTTATAATGTTGTGTTATTATTTTAGTCGAGGTGTGTTTGAAATCCTCCAGCACAGCACGGATTGAAGATGTCCGGATGGCCGTTGAGAGGTATGCTACTGGAAATATGTATTAAGCTTTCTGATATATGATGACTTGGTTAGGGAGATTAGATTTTTGGTTCATTTGTTTCTCTGGAATTTCTTAAACTTGAAGTGCGCTCAAGTTAATTCACATTGCTCGAAGATGAGGAACTCATAGTCAATTTTGTGTGTTTTAATTGACAGAATGCTTGAGAAGAGAAGTTTAAGCTATGTTGATGGGCCCATTCCAGTCCCGCTCGATGACGCTTTTCTCGCGGAAAACGTGCAAGGAATCCGAATTTGCGACTCTGGTATTCTTTCAGTTTAGCGTTGTTTAGGCATAGAGAATCTAGAGGGTATGGAATGGGTAATGGAAATAGTGACTTGAATTCTCTAGAAATTATGTTAATTTTGTCAGTTATATAGTTTCTAGAAGTTCTGGAAGAATTAGCTTACAAAGTAATTCCTCCGCCTGTGGGCCAAGGGCTTAAAGTGCTCGAAAAATGGAATTTTTCTTATCAGAGAGTGTGATTCTTCCATTAAGTAACGTCAGCGGGTATAGATTAATAGAAAAAGGTGGATTTTCATTATTCTGGTTATGATTCTGGATTTATGTTTTTGGTAGACGACAGTGTGCAAAACCATGATATCCTCTTATTCTGGCAAGTCAAACCAGTCGTTCATGTCTTTCAGGTGAAGTTCACTCTTGATATTGGCCTTCTTCGGTACTCACTCGATGGATGATATTTTCACTGCGCTCGTTCAATTTTATGAACTCTTGACTGTTTTTGGTGCACAAGGGACCGCATTTGTTCCTTTCAAATTTTATCTCATCAAATCATAAAGCTTTATTATTCACAATACACGATTGTAATACTATTCTGCATTCTTGGCCTTTATTTATTATTACATTCTTCATTTCCTTTATGTTGGGACTTCACTTTCTCTTCGTGCGGTTAGATTGATGTATGGTATTTGTGTATTGCTTGTCAGCTAAGTGAAGAAGGACCCTGCGAGGAACTTGGTGGGGAAGGACAGATTTCTAGTTTTAATGAATGGATACTTCCTGCCAAGGAGTTTGACGGCATCTGGGAAAGGTAAGCTGTCTCTAGTTTATTTATTGTTTCTTTCCTCATAAACCCAAGCTTCCTTTTGACGAAGTAACATTTTCAAATTAATCTGCAGTTTAATTTTTGAGTCTGGTCTCAAGCAAAGACTTCTGCGATATGCTGCTAGTGCTTTGTTATTCACAGAGAAGGGTGTCGATCCATTCCTAGTGTCATGGAATCGGTAAGGAAAGTCTTTTCTGTATGAGCATTAGGATGGTTTTCAAAATCTACAAGGGAGGACATAAAACGTAATCTTCATTGCTGAATTTTATTTGTAGAGTTCTCTGTTATTAGCTTTCTTTTTTTACTTTCCTAAAATATTATCCTTGGGACCGTATATATTTACTAATATTTGTTGCGTGTGTTTACTGGGTTATAAGCCAACTCTCATTTTGTATTCCCGACCTTTTCGGTACAACTTTTACATTTTAGAATGAATTCTCCAAATAAACTATGTAAATAGAAATGGCCCGCCAAAATCCTAATCTAGACTCAAAATTGTGTGAAAATTATGAACTTCATCTATTGTGTTGCCCTCTAGCCTTCCAGGATTTTAAAAGCGCTACTGTGCCTTCAAGGATGCTTTGCCATGTTTTACACGATGGCAAAGCTTGTAGAAGACCTAAAGATCCAGGAGGTTAATATATAATTCTCGTCTGTTTACGTGTGCACAGGATTGTCCTATTACATGGACCTCCAGGGACTGGTAAGACGTCTTTATGCAAAGCACTGGCTCAAAAACTGTCGATAAGATATCTGTCAAGGTTTGTTGGTCGATTACTGCTTCAGTATGTATTCTATATTATTAATGACCCTTATTATTCATTAGTTTCATTTTCCATTATATTCAGATATCCACACAGCGTACTAATTGAAGTTAATGCACATTCACTGTTCAGCAAATGGTTTTCTGAAAGTGGCAAGCTGGTATGGCTTTTTTCATTATTAGATGACCTGCATCCTTAATTAATTTTCATTTCATTCTAGACAGGTACTGTTTTAAATTTTACGCAGCGAACACTTCCATTTGTCGGGCATTATGGCTCTATCGTATTCAAGAATACATGTTTTCCTTAATAGGTTGCAAAGCTATTCCAGAAGATTCAAGAGATGATAGAGGAAGAAGACAATCTGGTATTTGTTTTGATTGGTGAGACATACTTTAGAAGGTTGTTAATTTCATGCTTGTCCTTCTTCTACACCACCATCCGTATTTCTATATTTTGTGGTCTGTAGATGAAGTGGAAAGCTTAGCTGCTGCTAGAAAGGCTGCTTTGTCTGGTTCAGAACCTTCAGATTCCATTAGGGTATGCTATTGCCTTTTGTATGGTCTCTCTCTTTTCTCCCTTAATCACTCTCTCTGACCAAAAGAAAGAAAGAACGAAGAAAGAAGAAAGAAGAAAGAAGAAAGCGGAAAGGATATGTTTTTATAAATTGTTTAGGCAAGTAGTTTTGAAACTCAGCTGATGCTTATAAAACTCTGAACTGTAATATTACAGGTTGTCAATGCGCTACTTACACAGATAGACAAGTTGAAATCGTCACCAAATGTGGTGATTCTGACAACTTCCAATATAACAGCAGCTATTGGTGAGTTAATAATCAAGTGATGTCATGTAAATATTTATCTTTGCAAAATAAAAGTTTTTGGTAGTGTAATTACAAGTGGGACTGCACCCTTTTATGGACTGTCTTCGGAAGTTGGTAGTTCGAATACTCGTCTGAGTGCACTTGTTATTAAAAAAAATAGTGAAATTATTCCAATTTATATACTCTAGAAGCTACGGTTTCTGATCCTCATGTTCTCAGTATAAGTTTGATCAGGATGTTTATGGGTTGTATAATCTTATGGAGTTCCATTATTTCTTGAGCAAAGATGAAAAAACAATCCCCAAGTGTTGAGGCCCTCTCCAAATCTTCCAATTCCCGCTCGTTTTCTTTTCTGGTTTTCAATTTCCATTTTCTTCTACTTAAAATCTTAATACTTGAATTAACCAAAATCTGGATTGCAGATATTGCATTTGTAGACCGTGCAGATATCAAAGCATATGTTGGTCCACCAACTCTTCAAGCACGTTATGAAATTCTGAGGTCCTGCTTGCAAGAGCTTCTACGCACTGGAATTTTGACAACGGTTGAGGTCCATAAACATCTAATAATTGCAGCTTTAGCCTTACTTTTGGGTGCCTTGGATTCTGGTTGAAATAGAGTACATAGGCATTCGTAATTCTCATCATTTCTAAATTTCTTAGGGTTTTGACCACTCTATGCTTCCTAACTATGCTGGTTTGAAAGAGAAAATAAGCATTCGAGAGACCAAGAAGGTTGATGTACCACTTCACATCTGCAAACTATTGCTCGAGGTTGCTGAAGCATGCGAGGTCTGTGACAGAAATCTTGATTGCTAATTGATTACGAGTCCTTGAATTACCCTTGAATTATTTTGTTTTTTTTCTGTTCACAGGGTACTAGTGGACGTTTTTTAAGAAAACTCCCGTTCTTAGCTCATGCGACTCTAGCCAATCCATGTACTGGCGACCCTTCAAAGTTCTTGTTCGCCATGTTGGAAACGGCTGTGAGAGACCGAGCAGAGCTACCCGAATGAACGTGTTATTGTCAAGAAGCTTCTTGTGCTTGTAATTAATGTTGTGCTGATAACACTTACATATACAGATCTAAATCTGGAAATCAGTTGTAGAAGCTGACGCTACTTGAAAAGCCTACTAAAATACTCATTTTTAGTTGAATCCATTGCTTATAAAGTTATGAGGACTCTCTGTAACTGTCGCATTGTAGATTTCCCTATTGTTTTTTAGTACTTTCATTCTCTCAATAACCCATAAACCCCACGAAATCAACTTTTAATATGGGCATAGATATATATATGCAAGTGATATGATTAAAGTTTTATCCATATTTTAGAGCATAGGCTTCATTTTGTTCTATTTATTAGTCTGTATGATCAGTTAAATACATAGACTATTATGTGGAAACTTGCAGGAAAAAGCAGGAAAGAGAAGGCCTACATGCCAGAACATGTGAGAGGAGAGCCCAAAAAAAATTGGGTTCACTTCGGCACAACCGACCAAAAGGGAAAAGAAAGAGGAGCCAAAATTTTAAATTACATAGATAGATAAAGACCCCTTTATGAAGGGTCGTCTTTAACAGAAAGCCCAGCTTTGAGGTATCATGCTTTGCTAAACTGGACCCTCCATAAAACACACTTACTCTCTCTCTCTTCCCTTTTCTTCTTTACCTGTGAAAACGTGACCTTCCACTGTACATTAAAGGGAAACATGCATGCGTGAATATAAAGATCTTAGAGACTCCACTGTGTGCGTGTTCCCATGGCAGGCTGATAATATCAATGTTCCTTGTTCTAGTGGAGAATTATATGCACCTGAAGAACTAACTCTTTTTCTCTCTTACAGAATGCCTGCTTCTTCTGTCTGCTATCTCGCCATGTTTCTTGCTTTCAACAACAGTTCAAGGAGGAAGCCAAGGAACGTTCTTGCTGCCATAGAGAACCCAGAGAGGGTTTTCTTGCGGTCTACTGAAATGGTAAGCTTTGTTTTGGAGGTTCCCATTGTTCGAAAATGTAGACGTCTTTGTAAGCTAAGTGTTGTAGGAGTTCTTTGATGATCTCATCCTTAGCAAAGGGGAATCCAGCGTCCAGGTCCGATTCTTGAAGAGTTCTTTCATTTGTCTTCTTCAAAGCATGCATACTTGAGTTTCTACTCTCTTTCGTTCTTTCTACCAATTATGATCTGTTATCAGATCTGTACTAGAATATATATCTATATATATATAGTCATATCTATATATTAAGGTATTAAATGTAATTTCTCTGCATGCATGTCTGCATTTGCAGCTGATTGGTTTTCCTATACCCTTTAATTGCATTTAACCATCTCATCTCTCTCAGCTTCTTCTTCTTCTTCTTCTTCTTCTTCTTCTTCTCCTCTCTCAGTCTCTTCTGTTTTCATAACCCCGCTCCCATTGCTTTCTTTTCTTTGTTAGTATGGATGCTTCTTCTTTCCCATGATTGTGAAGTGTAATTCTTATCTTTTGTGTTGGAGTCATTTTGAACTTCAGAGAATATAATTCAATCAAGCTAGAAGTTCTCATGTGAAGCTAGTTTTGATTTTGTTGTTCTTTTTTCTCTTTCATGAAATATAAGATATAATAGTTTGCCAAGTGTGGTTATGTTCTTATTTATATAGCTCGTAATGAAACTGAACCATAGATCTTGCACTATTGTCTCTATAAATTGTACCTAATAAGAATCACTATACAATATTAGTGTTGTATAACACTGATATGTATCTGTAATTTATGCAGCTGTAGAACATACTACTATTTATGAGTTTTTACCCATTTATTTAAAAGTTCCATTGATCAGAAAACAAATATGTGTACTGAAAAAGAAGTCTCTCCACCAGGGATCTGATCAGGTTCAGGTATCAGCAAGTTTGGCTTCTTAAAAAGAAGTCTTATAATTTGACTGTACAAAAGTTCAGGTTTTTCACAGAGATCAGCTGAGAGAGAGGCTGTGAGGTAACAAAACAAAACATACTCAGTTCTTTTTTCTGAGACCATTGACCAACCTCAGCCTATATTAGAAAAGTCAGTCTCATGAACAGTTCAAGTGGGGTAATCATGAACAGTTCAGTGGAGTAATATTATATAATTTTGCTACAGAGGCATTGTAGCTACTACAGCTTTAATGATACTTTTCATGGTTGAAATATGTAATATTTATGATTGTAAATTATCATGAATCAAGGTAGGGGTCAGCAAGTGTTATACCAACTAGTTAAAAAGAAGTGAGTTCAATGATCGTCTATGTAGGTGGGATATACTCCGAGTTTCTTTGGCATTTAAATATTATAGGATCAAGAGATTGTCTCGTGAGATCAAATGCTAGTACGAACACTCGCAGATGTCAAAAAAAAAAAAAATTGAAAAGCTTCTGCCCTCCCTCTTCCTCTCTCTTTTTAGCATTTCTTCAACCACAAAAAAAAAAATGCACTTTCAGTTGGGAAGGAGCTTGCTTTTTCTGCCTTGAAGATCCCCAAGTTTCCCTTTTCATTAGCATAATCATGGCTACATTAGACAACACAAATTGTAGTTTGGAGCCATGTTTTGGGGAACGAATAAATGGAAGGTCCTTGCCAACTTGAGTCCACTGTTCTTCTGTCCAATAACAGCTTGACAGATGCCAAGACTTGTCCACCATTACTTCCCTAAAAGCTCTTAAATTTCTTAGAAAAAGAGATGATTTATGAAGTGTAAATAGACCGTATCTATTTAAAATGATTGTGTGATAATTTATTACAAATGAGTTCTTCGACCAAAAGCAAAATATATGTCCAATTCTTTCACGTCTCACAATCTATTTAAACTATGCCAAATTCGTTCCTAAGTGCTTATTTCTAGAATAAACCAAGAATTCGAAATAAAATATATGTCCAATGGAGAAAGTTTTGATTATTAAAACATTATCGGATGTGTCGAAGCAAAATGGAAGACATTATATTGACTTGCTTTTAAAGAGAGAATGACCCACCAAACTTTGTCGTTTTTTGCTTGTGAGATCCACTCCCCAAAGCTGAAACCCAATGCTCAAAGTCACTCATTGCTCACTCTTAAAAGCTTTATACAAAAAAAAAAAAAAAAAAAAAAA